GAGTTTCACGATCGCGGTTTTGATAATAGCTTCGTTCGGCGGAAACTAATGTTTTATAAAATTTGTGAATCTAATGGTGTTTACTCGTACATTTTCAGCTAAAAACATAAAGCGGATTTACGTCTGTAAGTGTCTAGTCTATATGACAACGCAGTTATCTCCACCGAACACAGCCACCGCCGTGTTGAAACGGTTCGCAACCTACGTTTTCAAGGTTAAGTAGTGATAAGAGTAGCATTCTTCCTTTCTCCCCGGAGATCTTCTGCAAAAATTGTGCTGTACAAAGGCGTCTACGAAGGTTAGTAGGTAAAGTACAGGATGGGTTTTATTTCATGTTGCGTCCGCGTCCGCGGCAAGTTTCACGATCGCGGTTTTGATAATAGCTTCTTCGTTTGGCGGAAACAATGTGTTGTAAAATTTGTGAATTTGATGGTGTTTACTCGTACATTTTCAGCCAAAAACATAAAGCGGATTTACGTCTGTAAGTGTCTATATGACAACGCAGTTATCTTCACCGAACACAGTCACCGCCGTGTTGAAACGGTTCGCAACGTGTTTTCAGGGTTAAGTAGTGATAAGAGTAGTATTCTTCCTTTCTCCCCGAAGATCTTCTGCAAAATTTGTGCTGTACGAAAGCGTCTACGAAGGTTAGTAGGTAAAGTACAGAATGCCTTTTATTTCGTGTTCCACCTTTTTACTTTAATGTGATTGCGTTTTCCAGTTAGAGACATAAATCGGCACAAGTATCATTCTGTCTTTGTTTAGTGATTATTCTGTTTTTATTCCTCTAATGAAGAATAAAAAATGAATAATAATTGTGTCGCTAACTGGAAATCGTAAGCATATTAAAATAAAAAGGTAGTACATGAAATATAACTTACCCTGCGTACTATTATTTAGAAAAAATTAATATTGCGGTCCACTTAATGCTGCAAATGCTTTTAAGCATTCTACTTAAATAGTTGTGGTATACGTCTCGTTTGCAAATAGGTGATCGTGATTGATTATATAAATTTATTTC